CCCCTGTAATAGGTGAACGTATTTTTCATGTGGGACGTATAAGAGCCTGTGAGGACTTGGGGTGGACTGTGATAGGCTGAATAATAGTTCCCACTAAAGATGGCCAAGTCTTAATCCTTGAAACCTGTGAGTATGTTGTCACACACGGTAAAAGGGATTTCTTAGAAGTGACATTGTTGTTCAGTTGCTAAGTTGTGTCTGGCTCTCTGTGACCCCGTGAACTACAGAAGTGACATACGTTGGCCATAAAGATAAGACCTTTGGATCAGAGATACAACTTATTACTTATAGCAAGAAAAAAGTGGGGGGGGGAGGGAGCCAGATCAGCACTGTGTGTTTGTTGCCTATGCTCCAGTTCCCACAGGTGTTAGCTTTTCATGCAGTGCTTGCACCACAGCAAACAGGTTTTAAGGGGCTACTGGTACATCTTTCTACCCTTCTCCACAAAGAGATTACTCATTACTCTTGGAAGGCAAGCAAATGTCTCCAGGAAGTAAGACTTGACCTTTACTTCCCAGGGATGTACCTTGGGAAGGATGTTTCTAGTCTCACCATCCTGGAATATTCTCTTACACGCATATTCTTAATTTAAATCCAAAAACTTTCATTCAGAGGATTCAGATTGTGCAGAAATGTGAGCTATTCATGGAGAAATGTCTTCCAACTTAAAGCACCCAAAAGGGAGATAAGTCTATTACTTTTAACAGAATAGAAAAATCTAAAAAACTCCCCAAAGATTACAATAATGCTAGGAGAGGCTGCAAAGAAACAGGTGGGGTGGGGAGTCAGGAAATACAAGAGGCAGAAGTTGAAAGCAGTTTGAGGAAGACCTGTTAAGCAATTAAGTTGCTTTATTTTCAGCAATGATGTGAGGAAGCAACATCAAATCAGTGCTGCTTGGGAACACTTCTAATCTGACAAAGATCAGATTTTACAAAAAATTTTGGTCACACCTTGTGGCATTTGGGACCTTAGTCCCCTGAAGTGAATTGAAAGTCACTCAGTTGTGTCTGACTCTTTGCGACCCCATGGACTATACATACAGTCCATGGAATTCTCCAGGCCAGAATACTGGAGTGGGTAGCCTTCCCTTTCTCCAGGGGATCTTTCCAACCCAGGGATTGAACCCAGGTCTCCCACACTGCAGGCGGATTCTTTACCAGCTGAACCACAAGGTTAGTCCCCTGACCAGGGGTTGAACCTGCACTGGAAGGCGAAGTCTTAACCACTGGATCACCAGGTTAAGTCCCCCCAAATCAGATATTTAAATGTAAAAAAGGGCAAAGAAATTTGCCATACATTAGTTATTCCAGGGAATATGACCTCACGTTACAAGTGATAGGTATCATGGATTCATTTGTGCCTCAGCAAATGTAAATGGAATATCCACTTACTATGTATCATGCAAGATGGGACACAATTTCTGCTCCTATGGAGCATGCATTCCAAGGTGGCAGACTGACAGAACCAGTAATCAAATAAATACAAATATTAGAAATTACATACCACCAAGAAAGCAAAGAAATAGAAGGAAAAATAATAAAAAATGTTCCAAACTAAGGTGATTAGGAAGGACTTCTTTAAAGACGCAACCTTTAAATTCAATCTATTCAAAACAGAAGTCAGAGGGAGTTTTTGAAAACCTAATTCACACCACGTCTCTCCTGCACAGAACCCTTCAATTGCTCTCCATGTCACTGACAAAACCCAGAGGCCCTATAATGGTCCAGTCCTTCATGATTTGGTTCTCAAATACTTCCCTGACCTTTCTTATTACTTTCTATAGCACTTGTTGCATTGCATGTGTGCTCAGTCATGTCCCAACTCTTTGTGACCCCAGGGACTATAGCCCATCAGCTTCCTCTGTCCATGTAATTCTCTAGGCAAGAATACTGGAGTGGGTTGCCATGCCCTCCTCCAGGGCATCTTCCCACCCCAGGGATCAAACCCATGTCTCTTGTCTCCTGCATTGCAGGGGGATTTTTATTTTATTTTTTACCATTAAGCCACTGGGGAAGTCCATTCCTATAGCACTTATTATCTGGTAAATATTATAAAGGTTGTATTTATCACATTTATCGTCTTTCCTTGCCAGAACTAAAGCTCCACTAGAGAATGATCTTTTGTTTTCTTCATTTCATATCCCAAATGCCTCTACAACAGTGCATAACTGCTAATCAAAATTCATTAGATTTCTGTTCAATGGACATAAAATTATGATTTTATTAGTATTTAAATATAACAAAAATAAAACATAGGTTACCACATACACTGCTATATTAACATTTAAATACAACACAGGAAAGGATCACAAAATATGAAATGCAAACAAAAACCGGGTCAAACTGATTTAATGTAGGGGGTGTCCTGCCTGCTCATGAGCTCGTTCCAGTCTAGAACACAGGAAGAGAGTGCTACCCACATTTCTGCTGCACCACTGAGTCCATTCCTTTCCTTTGTTTTTAACTGGGTTAATACTGAAAACCCCAGTTCACACAAACTAGTTGTCGTGAATGGTAATAGTAGCAGGACGCTCTTTCGACTTAGCAAAGGAAAGTCTTCCTTTATATTAATCCAAAATGTTGATAAACTTAATGATTCATAATCATTCTTCAATGTGAATGAAGAACTGAGCTGCAATAATTCATTCTCTTCTTTAGGCACCAGGTCTAACTCAGTTATTGATTCTGGGTTTCGAAAAGCAAATGGATCTTTTACCCAACAATTTTGTCTTAAAGTGTTTCGAATTTCTCTCCTGGGAAGAAATGGTTAAAAGTTTGAGAGAGAGATGTGAGATGCAACAGTATCTCTAGTTTTATTTCCTCCAAAATGTTCTCATTAATAACATTCTCTTCAATGTGCTGCAAAAATCTTGGAAACATGTAATAGCTAGGATGGTTGCTTTTCAGTCTCGCTTGCCACAACAATAATGTCTTTTGGAATCCTTGGATCCGTTCCATCTGTTGGAATACATCATTGTTTTTCCCCTGTAGTTTTAAACCGAGTTCATTAAGGATGCCAAAGATATCTGTTAAATATGCCAGTTTCATTACCCAAATATCATCCTCAAAAATAGCTGCCAAATGAGATTTCTTTTCGCTGAGAAAAATGTGGATCTCGTTCCTGAGATCATAAACCCTGCTTAGTACTTTCCCTTGAGACAACCAGCGGACTTTGGTGTGATACAGTAAGTGGGTATAATTAGCTCCAATCTCTGAACAGGTTTCAAGCAGTCGGCTGTTTAGTGAGCTTCCTTTAATAAAATTAACAACTTTCACTGCATTTTTCAATACTTCCATGAGATTTTGTGGGATCTCTCTGGACACTAACGCTTCACGATATATAAACAGTGATTCCACATGGCACTAGTCACCTTGAGCAACTTTTTAATTACTCTGCTCTGTTTCCCAGTTTGTTTGCTGTTCCGTCACTTGTGATTCCTTTGCAGTTTTTCCAATTTATGTTATAGTGACCAACAATGCACTTTTCCAATTCTGTGAAAATATCTAATTCATGTAGGCATGAGGTTAAGTTTAAACAAAACAAAAAATCCTCCATGAAATCACCTTGCCACGTGTATCTCACATTGACTAAAAGTGCTGTGCAGCTTCCAATATCAGTGCTTTCATCAAACTGAACTGCAAAGTCTATTCCTGACTGTAATCGAGTAGTAAGCGTGGCCTCTAATTGCTCGGCAACTGTACAAATGCGAAGAGCTATCATGCTATCATTAGGAATAGTTTTTAATTTATCTGCAGATTTATCATCAAAAATTGTACGCACCATATCCAAGCATGCTGGAAGAATAATTTTTTCTGCAGCTGTGTAAGCCATTTTCTCTTTTGCTACATGATATGCAACCAAGTACGATGATAATAAGGCTTTCTCACTGACAGCAGAATAGCTACGAAATAGTGTTGGTGACTTTACATCTTTTTTCTTCCTTTGAAAATATTCAAGAGGCTTATCAATAAGTTCAGCATGCTGTGTTTCTAAGTGCTTTTTTAATTTTGAAGGTTTTAAGCTTTCGTTTGCAAGAATATTATTACAAATAACACACTGATGTCTGTCACTTTCAAAGGGTTTTTCACACTTGATAAAACCATATTTTAAATAATCTTCATTATAACGTCTAACACTGACTTTTTTCTTTTTGAAATGTGGTTCAAATGTAGTCGATGTTTGCAGATTAGAGTCAGTATTTTTCTCATAATTGTCACTGGTCACACTTCCAGATCCAGAGGTAGAACTTGAACATGCTTTTGCATATTTTGCTTCATTATTCCTCTTTCTTTTAAAAAAGAAATGATCCATTTTAAAAGCAATTTTGAATGTTACAATCGCCACTAACTCAAATATGTATGTATGTGTGTATACATATTTATAGCCTAGATAACATCTTTCCAAAACATTTAATTTGCAACTGAATCTCAGCTGAACATCTCAGATTTTATATTCAGTTGCAAGTTATAATATACAACTATGCTGCACATCGGCCATTTTGTTATGAAAACCAAACATCAATGGACAAATAATTGAAAAACTGCTTCTTAAGCAATCAATGGACACTATATTCATCATATCCCCTCCAACAAATATCTTTTCACATACTGAAACTGACCTTAGTATTCCCTGCAAGGTGCACAATTCTGGCAAAAGGATTTATGCAAAGCACTCTGATATTTCATTTTTTTAAAATGTTCATCATGACTCACAAAATTGATTTCCTGACCTACTAAATGGGTCCCACACATAACATGAAAAATACTGATACAGAGACATTTTCTTCTGTTGTGTTGGCAGCCTGACTACATTTGCTTGATGATCAAAGAAACTAGCTGATCTGCTAAACTGTTGGCTGACACTGGAACTTCCTTGAAGTGGTGGGTATATATCTCAGATTTTTATTCCTGATACTTTCTGATGGGAAGCATATTTTTTTAAGATGGCAAATTATGCTTTGATCTAGTAAGGTTCCAGCAAGGTTTTCCATGGCTAGGTCAACTACATGGCTGGAGCTGGTGATATATCTTTAGAGCTTTCTTGGAATGCATCCTTGATCTGGGAATAAGACCAGAAATATGACATTAAACATTACAAGACAGAGGAGTACTATTCCCAGCTATAGTGACCTTTACAAGATCCAAGGTCATGAATGTTGAAGCAAAAAGCTATAGTTCTCTTCACCACCATGTTATACAGGTTTAGGCCCATTTCTAAAAGGCAGAACACTTCAACCAAGACTGGGAGAGAGAAAAAATTATGATGTAAGACCTGGGGGTCAGTACCAGCAGATGCAGAGTACACTGCCAAAGCTGAACACAGCAGACCATGGAGAAGCACAGCTCCTTCACTAACTGTTATTTCCTCTTGGCTCACTTTGACTGTGCCCATCTAGAAAGTACTTCCTGCATTGCTTTCTTGAACTTGGGATATTTGGGTCTTATCAGCGTAATACAGCACTTCCTTACAAACCTCTCCATTTAGTGATGCCATTTTGTGTGTGTGTTTGGGGTGGGCGTAAGAATGGAATGGAAGAAGGGTAAAGTCTTCCATTTGTGCTCAGTCACGTCTGACTCTTTGCAATCCCAGGACTGTAGCCCACCAGGTTCCTCTGTCAATGGCATTTTCCAGGCAAGAACACTGGAGTGGGTTGCCATTTCCTCCTTTAGGGGATCTTCCAAACCCAGGATTTGAACCGAGGTCTTCTGAATTGGCAGGTGGGTTCTTTACTGCTGAGCCATCAGGGAAGCCCACGAATGATGTGCATGCCATCAGTTTCATCAGCCTGTCACCACTGCATTTATTCCGGTCTAATCTTTTAAAAATCATGCCATATTTGAAAGAGGCATCATGTTTTGACCTTGAAACAAGAAAGATGCTGCCAGAGGGAGAAGGCCTTGGTGACAGTCTTCTGTAAGACTTCATTAAATTGTATTTAACAGTAAACTTGAAGGGGACTTATAGTATGTCATGTATAATACATTTTTTTTTAAATGTAATAAACTTAGAGAGCAACTTTAGGTTCACAGCAAAACTGAGCAAAGGGTAGAATTTTTTCCCACATAGCCCTGCCCCGACATCCACAGTCTTCCCCATTATCAACATCCCTCACCAGAGTAGTGGTACATGTTATAGGTGATAAAGCCACACCAATACATCGCCATCACCCAAAGTCCATCACTTACATTAAGGCTCACTCTTGGGGTCGTACATCCTATGTGTTATGACAAATGAATAATGGCATGTATCCACCACATGGCATCACACAGAGTATTTTCACTGCCCTAAAAACCTTGTGTCTCTGTCTATTTATCCTTCCCTTCCTTCCTACCCCCACTGATCTCTAGTAGTCACTGATTTTTTTTAACCAGCTCAGCTTCACAGTTTTGCTTTTTCCAGGATGCCACACTGTTGGAATTACATGTATACAGACTTCTCAGGTTGGCTTCTTTCACTTGGTAATATTCATTTCAAGGTCCTCCAGGTAGTTTCATGACTTAATAGCTCATGTCTTCTTAGCACTGAAAAATATTTGGTTACAAGTTTATTTATACATTCACCTACTGAAAGACAGCTTAGTCGCTCCCAATTTTTGGCCATTTGTGAATAAAGCTGCTATAAACATGGGCAGCCAGTTTTTGTGCACACCAGCTTTCCACTCCTTTGGGTGAACACTAAGGAAGCTGACTGCTGCACTGGGCGTGAACATGCATTCTAACAAGGACGCTCACTTTTAACAAGCCAGCCACTGGAAGAGACCTGATGTTGGGAAAGACTGAGGGCAGGAGAAGAAGGGGGCAGGAGAGGGTGAGATGGCTGGATGGCACCACTGACTCAATGGACATGAGTTTGAGCAAACTCAGGGAGATAGTGAAGGACAGGGAAGCCTGGTGTGCTGCAGTCCATGGGGTCGCAGAGTCGGACACGACTTAGCAACCTACAGGAGAGAGAGTTCAGGGTCTGGTAGATGCTTCTGACTTAATATTCCTTAGATGTTTCCCCAAAGATGACATGTTCAAAATATTTTACCCTCCTCTGAGAAAGAGGCAAAGCTTTTCTTTGGAGGTCTCTGTCCTGTCTGCCAAGGTAGTTAGCAGGAGTAAGGAGTTTCTGGCAGATGCCTCCCAGATGGAGGCAAAGTATGGCGGACAGCATCACCATATTAAACCAGAACTAAACTGCTGGAAAAGCAACTGCATCTGGATCTCTTTGATGAATAAGAGCGATAATGCTCTTTAATCGGCTGTGCATCTAGCTTAGCCATTCTTTAGGAGAGACTTTCAAGAGTTAAGGTGACCAAATACTTGTAGCTGAAAGTATCTTATATACCAAGGTGTACTAATAGAGGCATGGGATACAGTTTCAGGTTAGTGACTCTCCACTAATGGATCTTTTTATCTACCTGTTCCTAGAACAGTGTTTGTCACATGGTAGGTTCTCAATAAATGCATTTGAAAGATTAAATCAGAGAATGAATGACACCTGTAGTAAACTGTACCATGGACATTCTATTTTTATCAGTCAGTGAAAAATAAGTTACCAAACTATATCTGAACAATTTGGTGATATGTAAGACAAAGACTAGTGAGACCTTTAAAACTGGATTGACAATATTCTATTTCAAAATAAATTGCTTATAAAAACATAAATTTAAACTATATTTAGATTCATCTTAAAAAGTCAAACACGTCAATCTACCTGAAAATAAGAAACAGATTTTTAAAAAATGAATCTACCATTTATATTATTATGGGTATGAGTAATTCTTTTAGACAAAAACAACTGTCTTTAAATCATTCTGCTCTTTTATATTTTTACTATTCTCATTTCAACCCAATCCTCTTTGAAAATCAAAGTGTTAGTCGCTCGGTCGTGTACAACTCTTCGCGACTCTCATGGATTGTAGCCCACCAGGCTCCTCTGTTCATGGAATTCTCCAGGCAAGATTTCTGGAGTGAGCTGTCATTCCCTCCTCCAGAGGATCTTCCCGGCCCAGGGATTGAACCTGGGTCTCCTGCCTTGCAGGTGGATTCTTTACTGTCTGAACCACCAGGGAAGCCCCCAAAAGATTACAGAATGATACACACTGCAGTCGACTCCATGGACTGTAGCCCACCTGCTAGGCTCCTCCGTCCATGGGATTCTCCAGGCATGAATACTGTGAAGTGCCATGCCCTCCTCCAGAGGATCTTCCCTACGCAGTGATCAAACCCACTTCTCTTGCATCAGCAGGAGGGTTCTTTACCACAGTGCCACCTGGGAAGCCTCTTTAGGAGTCCATTCGGCTGTGCTGAGCAACAATGAGCAACAATGTATACTGCAGTATTCAAAAAGTATTCTTAAAGGGCTTACCCACTCTCTTCAGACAATTCACCTACAGTAACAGTAGACACAGTATATTAGTGTACAAACCTGATAAATGTGAGGAAGAAAGCATGTGGAAGTCTCTTTTTAACTGAAAGAGGATACAAGGTAACAACTAAATGGGAGTCTGAAGTAGAAAATGTTGCAAGCTTGACAGAAGGTATGAAATAACCCCCTACAAAATACAGTGAATGGACTACAAGAATGTTCTAAGGTTTTAAGCAGGTCTGCATGACTGCCTTACACGCTTAACACAATGATCATTATGATGATGCCTGACAGGTGTGGTCTTTAATGACCTGCCATGAATTTTTACCTATTATGGTAAAAATATGTCCATATATGTCCATAATGCTCTGAGTACTATCTTCTAAAAATACAGCTCTGATCAGATTGCTCCTAATTCAAAAACCTCTACTGGCTATGAACCAGTGCAATCTCTTCAGGATAACGTCATTTAAACTGGTATCTCCATACAATCCTACACGTCAAGCTCTAAGCCTGCCACGAGTTCCTGAAATACCTTGGGCACTTTCACACTTCTGCTTTCATTCTGATTGGTATTCCCTGTGCCTGGAATACTTCTCTTGCCTTAAGTCATTTAAAATCCTATTTGTTCTTTTTGATTTAGCTCAAATGCCACAGCATTTATCCATTCAACTAACATGTAAGGATTTACAATGCCAGGCGCTGGAATAGAAAGCAAGAAAATGGATAGTGGATATATTCATACAAGGGAACACACCTGTTCAGATGTTAACAATGAATGAGCTAGAGTTACACAACACTGTCAAATCTTACATTAAGTTAAAGAAAGCTGCCAAAGGATATACACATTTCTGACTGTGAAAACTATGCAAAACAGCACTATACATGTAATTAAAAAATAAAACATAAAGGTGCTTTAAAGGGGAGGGACCTTGGTCAAGAGAGAATAGAATGGAATTGGATGGATCAGACCAAGGGCTTCAAATATATAATAATAATTCTTCCACTTGGGTGTTGAGTACACACGTATTGGTTATAGTTTTACTTCTACTCTGTGTCAGTCAAAAAACATCTTATTTTTAAAAGGGATGGTTAAGGCGTGATTCTTTCCTGAAGGCACTGCCTGCTTGTCTCATAACCAGTAATTTAAAATTACCCTCTGTCTCTGTCTGATATTCTCCTTTTGTTTCCTGTATTGTTGTGATGCACTGATTAGCAATTATACCTTAAGAGGAGGACTTGCAGGTATGAGCTTTAAGTAGATTAGTATGTAATCCTCTTCCCAGGAGACTCCCGTTTCCTCCAGATCTCAAGGGAGCTAACTAGGTCTACGAACCCCAGTCTGACCCCTTCAGCCCACCGGAGAGCAACTGCCCCCGGATCCCGGATCGCAGCTCCCTACCTCCGGTGGACGTCCATCCGTCCTGTGAGCAAAACCGAAACATGCCCCCCGCCAACGAACCCCGAAATGTCTCCCTTCAGCCGAATCTGGATCACTCCCACCAGAGTTCGCCTTTCTTCCTTCTCACCTCCAGCCCAGCGCCACGAGCCTCCCGCCGAACGTGCCGACCGCCAGTGTATCTCGCCCCCCATTCCCTACTAAACACCACTTCCGGCCTCGCTTCCGCATCCAGAGAAACCCATCCCACTTGCAACCGGAAGAGGGCCGGCTCGGCCCTCTGCGCACGCGCGAAGCCCGGAGGCGGCCCTGTTCTCGCGGTTGTCTCGCGGTGGTTCCTTTTCTCGCGGGAGATATTTGAAGGCTCCGGCGGTAACAGAGCTGTCGGCTCTCTGCGGCTGACTGACCGGAGTCGGGAGCGTCTAATGAGACGCCGATGGTGCTCAGTCTCTGGCTGTTGTCAAGCGCGGACGGGCTCGCCTCGACCCGGTCCGGCGCCATGGGAGCGGAGAAGAGGCTGATCCCAATTAAGCAGACCTTCCAGCTGGCCCAGCAGCCGCTCCGGAACCGAGATTGATGTTGATGATGCTGGTGATGGATGATGTTGATGACTGGTGATGCTGAACCGCCGCCTCCGGCCGGGCCGCTCCGCTCGGCCACACGCGACCATGCTAATTTCGTCAGTCTCTGTAAGAGAATTATAGAGGTTTTCTAAATTGCCGAGTCACTGGAAAAGACCTGATGCTGGGAAAGATTGGAGGCAGGAGAAGGGGACGACAGAGGATGAGATGGCTGAATGGCATCACCGACTCGATGGACATGAGTTTGAGCAAACACTGGGAGTTGGTGAGGGACAGGGAAGTCTGGCGTGCTGCAGTCCATGGGGTCGCAAAGTGTCGGACAGGTCTGAGCGAGTGAACAACAGCAACAGCTATCATTTACCTTGTTTACTTATTTCAGTTCAGTTCAGTCGCTCAGTCGTGAGGTGGCCAAAGTATTGGAGTTTCAGCTTCAACATCAGTCCTTCCAATGAACACCCAGGACTGATCTCCTTTAGGATGGACTGGTTGGATCTCCTTGCAGTCCAAGGGACTCTCAAGAGTCTTCTCCAGCACCACAGTTCACAAGCATCCATTCTTCCGCGCTCAGCTTTCTTCACAGTTCAGCTCTCACATCCATACATGACCACTGGAAAAACCACGGACCTTTGTTGGCAAAGTAATGTCTCTGCTTTTTAATATGCTATCTAGGTTGGTCCTTTCCTTCCAAAGAGTTTACTTGTTTAGGAAGACTTATTTTAATAATCATTTTAGGCTTGTGTCTCTAGGTTAGCTGTTCACTGATTTTTAAGATAAATCTGCATTTCTTCAAATAGATACAAAATGTATACAAGTAAATATATATTTTTTAAATTTCTGTCCTGTGAATAGTTTAACAGAACACGTTTTTAGGCACAAAAAAAGTCAGTGCAAAGAAAAGTTCGTTTTGTTACCAGACAACTATTTTTCAGGTTGATAATACAGGTCTCCCCCCTTTTAAAAGTTTGCTTTAGGCCACTTTGCTTTTAGGAAAGACCTGTATTGTATTAGTACCTGTTTTTTTTTTTTTTATTGGAGGATAATTGTTTTATAATATAGTGTTGGTTCTGCCATACATCAATATGAATCAGTGGTAGGTTTTCCCTCCCTCTTGAACCTCCTTCCCATATCCCACACCATCTTGCCCCTCTAGGTTGTCACAGAGCACCAGGGTTGATAGTTGAAGGAAATCTGGAAGGGTTTTCACCTTTACCAAAAAAAAAAAAGCAAAGAGCAACAATAGTTGGTATGCTTAGCCTTCAGAGTCTGTTTCACATGGAGCTTTTACAGGGGCAGTGGCCCTGCCAAGCTCTCCTCCCTGCAGCTACACTGGGCACCTCAGGTTCAGGGCCCCATAGCTTGGGACTATCTCTGTGAGCATCTAGGCTGCATCTCCATTTATTTCATGAATCAGCAAATGTGTTCTAAAGTATCCTGAAAGCTTAGTGTGAAACCGGATGCAATTTTAAGTGTTTTGATCAGGGTGAATGAAATGCCCAGTGTGTGAGTTGAATTTGCTTGGGTCCAGTATTTCCATGCAGAGAGAAGGAATCTTGAAAGCTGCCCAAGTTAGTATCGCTTCTGTTGGTAACATAGTGGTTTCAGTTGGCCTCCAGTGATCAGTGAACATCTGATTAACAAATAGAATACCAAGGTAATCTTGGGCTTCCCTGGTGGCTCAGCGGTAAAAAATCCACCTGCACTGCAGGCAGTGTGGGTTCAACCCCTGAGTCAGGAGGATCCCCTGGACAAGGGAATGGCTACCCACTCCAGTACTGCCTGGAGAATTCCATGGACAGCAGAGCCTGGTGGACTACAGTCCATGGAGTTGCAAAGAGTCAGGCATGACTGAGCGACTAACACACACACACACACACACACACACACACACACACACACACACACACACACGCACGTCTCTTTCTTAATGTACTCCCCCTCCTTCCTTCCCAGAGGAAACCACTATCCTGAATTTCCTGTTATTCATTACTTTGCTTTTCTTTAGAGTTTATTATAAGGCTACCTACTGTATCCCCCGGATATGCAATGTATCTTTGCTTTTTTAAACCTTATTATAAACGTAGCTATTTTGCATGTATTCTCTGGTAATGAATTTTTTTCCATTTAACACTGTTTCTAAGAATGATCCAGATTTATGCATGTTGCTATGTGTGCTCAGTCACTCAGTCGTGTCTGACTCTTTGTGACCCCATGGACTGTAGCCCGCCAGGCTCCTCTGTCCATGGGATTATCCTGGCAAGAATACTGGAGTGGGTTGCCATGCCCTCCTCCAGGGGATTTTGCCAACCCAGGGGTCGAACCCGTGGCTCCTGCATTTGGCAGGCAGATCCTTTACCATTGTGCCACCTGGGAAGCCATTGTATGTAATTATAGTTTTTTCCTTTTCGCTACTATATAGTGTTTTGCTTTAGAAAGACAATACACTTGAATTATCTGCTATGTTGTTTACTATTATGAACTAAATGCTATCAACATTCTCAAACACGCACAAAAGTTTCTCTGGCTGATATTCCTAGAGGTGGTGTTATGGGCTGAATTGGGATTCTCCAAAATTCTTAATTGAGGCCCTGAGTCTCAACATCTCCCAGTATCTCAGGAATTGCCTGCCTTTGGAGATAGAGTCTTTAAAGAGATAGTTAATTTAAATGAGACCTTTGGTGGGGAGTGCTCTAGTCTAGTCTGATTGCTGTTCTTTTAAGAAGACGAGATTGGGGAGCGGGGTTCAGGATGGGGGACACATGTACACCCAAGGCTGATTCATGTCAATGTATGACAGAAGCCATTACAATATTGTAAAGTAATTAGCCTCCAATTAAAATAAATTAATTTAAAAAAGAAGACGAGATTGGACATACAGAGAGACACTTGACATGTGCATGCAAAGAAGAAAGGCCAGTGAAGACACGGAAGAAGACATCTGCAATGCAAGAAGAGGGGCCTGGGAAGAAACCAAACTGTGATTTTGGACTTCTAGCCTCCAAAACTGAGGAAATCAATTGGTTTTTAAACCACCCAGTCTCTAGCATTTTTGTTACGGCTACCCTAGCAACTGAATACAGTTAGAATTGCTAGATGGGATTATGCATAAGTTCAGTTTAATTAGTAATGCCAATATTATTTTCAAGTGCTTGGACCAACTTACAATCCTACTGGCATGTGAGAATTCTTATTCTACATCCTTGCCCAAACCTGGTTTTGTCAGACTTGACTTTCTCCAGTCTGTTGGGATGAGAGTGGAATGTTACTGTTATGTGAATTGCACTATCCTGAAAACTAAGGAAAGTGGAATATATTCATGTATTTTAAAAATTTCTATATCAATAAAATTTTTGTTATATCTTTGTCCACCTTTCTGTTATGCTGTTTTTTTCTTACTGATGGGTAGGAGTTAATTTTAATGAAAGTAAGGTTTACTCTTTAATGGCCTGTCTTATGTCTTATTTAAGAAATTCTTCCTAACCTCCAGAGTAAAAGAATATATTCTTTTTTTCTGAGCTTTTTCATTTCAATCCTTAATGTACCTGGAATTGATTTTTCTTTTTAATGTTTGATTTGAGGTAGATGTAGAGTTTCATTTTTCCCTGCACTAATAACAGTTGTCCTAGCCCTATTTATTGAATAGTCTTTTTCTTTTTTTTTCTATTTATTGAATAGTCTTTGGCATCTCTGGCATACATCAAGTCTGCCTATGATGCAGTTCTCTTTCTGGTCTCTATTCTAATTATGATTTTTGTCTATCTCTAGACCATTATTACATTGTCTTAATTATTAATACTACATGCATTGGTGCTCAGTCATTTCCAACTCTTGCGACCCCATGGACTGTAGTCCGCCAGGTTCCTCTGTCCATGGAATTTTCCAGGCAAGGATACTGGAGTGGGTTGCCATTTCCTCTTTCAGGGGATCTTCCTGACTCAAAGGTCTAACCTGCATCTCTTGCTGCTCCTGCATTGATAGGGAGATTCTTTACCACTAAACCACCTGGAAAGCCCCTTAATTATTATGGTGGCTCCGTTGGTAAAGAATCTGCCTGCAGTGTGGGAGACCCAGGTTCAATCCCTGGGTTGGGAAGATCCCCTGGAGAAGGAAATGGCAATCCACTCCAGTATTCTTGCCTGAGAATCCCATGGACAGAGGAGCCTGGTAGGCCACAGCCCATGGGGTTGCAGAGTCAAACACACACATGCAGTAAGTGGATTTTTTGTTTCAAATTATGTGTGTATATATATATATATGTGTGTGTATATATATATATAATATAGTAAGTATATGTATAATAAAATTGGCTTTCCTGGTGGCTCAGATGGTAGAGAATCTGCGTGTAATGCAGGAGACCTGGATTCAATCCCTGGGTTGGGAAGATCCCCTAGACTAAGTGAGTGGTTACCCGTTCCAGTGTTCTTGCCTGGAGAATTCCATGGACCGGGGAGATTGGCAAGCTATATAGTCCATCGGGCCGCAAAGAGTCAGACACGATTGAGTGACTTTCACTCTCCCACTCACCCATAATTAAATTATTTAACAACTGATATGTGTATGATCTTGAAGTTGTCAAATGTGGAGAATCGAGCTAGGTGTGTTTAAGCATAGGAAATAGTTTTTGCCCCAAAGACTTAAAAAAATTCTTTTCAAGGTAACTCAAACTAATGAACCTTTTAAAAAGCCATTTCAAATATGAGACCAGGGATTTGGGGGTATTATGGATGGAGTTTAGGTGAAAAAAGATGGTCCATGGGTTGATCATTCTTGAGGCTAATTAGGTGTATTAATTTTGTAGGTATCAGTGCCTTGTTTTCTTAATATATACAGAATTATCACTTGTTAGCTAGTTCAATTGGGTTTTTAAAAAGATTTATTTGGCTGTGCCAGGTCTTAGTTGTGGCATGCAGGATCTTTATTGAA